ACTAATGTGTGTGCCTGATAATCAAACACAACCAGTGGTGATTCATGTAAACACTTTGGTTGCACCTGATACGATAATAACACGATCATATGACCAAAACTGACAAGCATGAAAACAAGGTTCGCCTATGTCACTGTAGTTCTGTTCAAGTGGGAAAAATGGCTGTCACTGTTCTGTGTTTATTGGCTATTCTGGCGGTATCACCAGGTAGGGTAACATTAAACGATGATTATTTGAATACGAAGATTATTCCCAAGTTAATGAATTATTCCAGCGTTTATTTTAATCAGTTCAATTTATTTTGTGTTGCACTGGACGTATATGATCCAATTGTGTCGCAATTTAACCATTTAAGACACTGCGTGTCAGACAACCACGTGACACTGACAATGGCTCACGTAGTTCAAAAATGTTCAATTCCATTATGAATCGGTTAATGCTTAAACTAATAGATCACATATGTAGCGAATCAAAATATTGCTCATAACAATGGGAAAAGGTTGGCTATTTTTGTGCCCTCAGTGGACTTTCGAATTTGCATATTACACAGAAAGAATTCATTAGGTATCTACCGAGCTGTTGGATAAATATTCAGTCGTGACATTGTCCATTATACTGTATACGTAATATCAAAGTGTGCATATTGATTTGATTTATCGTAAACGTAATCTTCAAACTAATATTTCATTGATGACACCTGGATTACGCAAATGCACATGCACTTCTAAATTATTAGTACATGCCAGTAGTTGGAATTTATTTAAACTCAGCATTCAATCAGACCCAGAATTCCGTGCGTTTCACTAATATTGGTGACTAGGGAGGTGCCAGAATCCTTTACTCTATGTTTTTTTTATTCCATAAAACCCTGCAAATAGAAGTGTGCATGGAATCATGAGAAGAAACGGTGTGCATTGCAGTGTGCTAACTGTCATAAAAGGTGATTGGCCGATCATACTTGTTTACAACTATGGAAAGACAATTGGAATCTACCAGGTGTGTTTGTGATTTACATAACAAAGGATGTTTACGATCTACTGAATTGGCTACGTAAGTCATTGTGAGACCTGTTTTAAAGTGACGTATTTTGGGAAACTTGTCCTAATATATAATATCATAGAACACTATGTTAAAACAATTGCATTTTTAACACTTTTTGAAACTCCGAGTTTTGAAAATAATTTAGGACAGTATTAAATAACCCACCATTTACAATATATGATATTTCAGTCTATAATCACCAGGCAACAACTTGAGATATAGCATAATATCTCTAGCATGCATATAAAGTTTACAAATTATAATCATACCGATAATTGTTTCACGTCATCAAATCTAAATATTTGTTTGCCTACAGTAACTAGGTCATCTTCGATGTGATTGCTGAGCATGCTTCTGCAACCAAAACCACTTCTAGAAAATAAAACGTAACTACATACTTCTGTGGAAATGAACACAAAATGTACGTATACACATAATTCTACACTAAATATTGTGTTTTAAAAAGGTGAGCACACATTTTTAACGGACCGCTTAGCTATATCAATGATGCTGGGCCCGATATCTGGAGTCTGTCTGAATGTATGGATATTAGTCTTTTTTTAAAAAACCGGTTAACTTGAATTTTGTTGTGTAGCTGCCTCGATTGATGTAGTTGGAAATCTGTTTATAAAAAGTCGACACAGAGCCCATTATTTATTAGCGTACTTGTACTCCTGTTGTCACAACTTTCCCACAGTGCAGAAGTAAGATTAACGAGATGTGTCCTAGAAAAGTGTATAGACTGGCACACATGGACAAATCGTTGTTTTTTCATTTCTGCATAATTACCGATTATAAAAAAAATATTCTAAAGTTGTAAAAATTAACAAAACTAGACTATATTTGGAAATCACAAATCACGACAGGGTGGTAAATTCTGCCTCATATTCCCTGTCCAATAAATGTCAAAAATGTGGGTACTGATCAGTGAACATGGGCGGTATTACTGAGAGCAGATAGTTGAGAGCATATGCCACTTTATACCAGGTCACTACGTAACACACACTCAGACCACATGTTCACTCTGTGCCATATGTACACTTCGTCGTGACGTACTTCTACCACAGATCCTCATCCAAGGTCCCTTCATACAACATATGAAATATAATTGATATTTAAGAAAGAGGATATCATTTATTGAGAGTATGTACATAGGTGATATACAATTCGAAATGGTATTTTGCAAATGAATGCAAGTTGTTCATTGCGAATATTTGACATATAATATCTTATTTTGTAGATTTGGTGCTGTGTGCGATTGAAGTTCGCACCATAATGACCATGGCTCGGTATATTCATTTGAGAATGTGCATCTATACCCTCAGCTCACTCACCAAGTAATTGATGTTTGCCCAAATAACGTCGCTTGGGAGTCGGATGTCATGACAACAGACTTATTAAAAAAAGTATTCTATTTGCCCAAACCTTATGCAACTCATAATATTGTCTTCAAAGAGGCATAGAGTATGTTTGACGTGGTAGTTGTCCTTGTAAAACAGGTGGAATTGCTACTTTCTGGTCGAAAATCTTTTATTGGTATATCAATATTATTACTTCTGTATGTTTCTAAGCATAACATGATTTTCTTAAGTGAAAACATGGGTTTTAAACTCAG